GAATGTGAGTTTTTTTGGTTATTATGTGTTTGGCAACAGCTAAAGGAGTTCTGAATCAGGTATGCATTAGTCCTCCTGCACACGGGATGTTTTTACAGGGGCTGTTTTTGGCTTTTGATGTTTTTTTTTTCTACAGCTAGTAAACCCCCCAGCAGGTTATCCTATGTATTTTATATCCTACCTCAATATGCTCATACCCTATTTACAAACCAAAAATTGTAAAAAAATTTATAATGATTGTAAAAAATAATATCTTCAAAAAATATAAATTAAATAAACAAAAGTTTCCAAAAAGTCCTAAAATGATGGCACGCGTGTCCAAAGATTAAAGTTATACACCAAATAAATTCCATATCGTTTTTATTTATTTAATTTATATTTTTTGGAGATGTTATTTTTCACAATCATTATTCATTTTTTACAATTTTTGATTTGTAAATAGGGTATGAGCATATTGAGGTAGGATATAAATTATTACACTTTCAAGGGTGAAAGTTAGACTTATATGCTATAGGGTGTTAGCTATATACAGTTGCAAGAGAAAGTATGTGAACCCCTTGGGATTACGTGGAGTTTTGCATGAATTGGGCATAAAATGTGCTCTGAACGTCATCTAAGTCACAACAATAGAAGAACACAGTCTGCAGAACATAATACTACACAAACATTAGATGTTGCCATGGTTTAATTGCACATAACATGTAAACATTCACAGTGCAGGGAGGAAAAAGTATGTGAGGCCCTAGCTTAATGACTTCTCCCAGAGCTAATTGGAGCCAGGAGTGAGCCAACCTTGACTCCAATCAGTGTGATGATATTGGATGTGTTGCTGACAGCTGTCCTGTCCTTAAAAAACACACACCTGTTTTGGGTTTACTGGTTTCAAGAAGCACTGTCTGATGTGAACCATGCCTCGCAGAAAAGAGCTCTCAGAAGACCTACGATCAAGAATTGTTGACTTGCATGAAGCTGGAAAGGGTTACAAAAGTATCTCCAAAAGCCTTGATGTTCATGTGTCCACGGTAAGACAGACTGTCTACAAATGGAGAAAGTTTAGCACTGTTGCTACTCTCCCTAGGCGTGGTCGTTCTGTAAAAATGACTGCAAGAGCTCAGCGCAGAATGCTGCATGAGGTAAAGAAGAATCCCAGAGTGTCAGCTAAAGACCTACAGAAATCTCTGGCACATGCTAACATTTTTGTTGACACATCTACAATAAGGAAAACATTAAACAAGAATGGAGCACATGGGAGGACACCACGGAGGAAGCCATTGCTGGCCAAAAAGAATATTGCAGCACGTTTGAAGTTTGCAAAAGAGCACCTGGATGTTCCACAGCACTACTGGCAAAATATACTGTGGACAGATGAAACCAAGATTGAGTTGTTTGGGAAGAACACACAACACTATGTGTGGAGAAAAAAAGGCACAGCACACCAACATCAAAACCTCATCCCCACTGTGAAACATGGCGGAGGGAGCATCATGGTTTGGGGCTGCTTTGCTGCCTCAGGGCCTGGACGGATTGTTGTCATTGATGGGAAAATGAATTCCAGAGTTTATCAAGACATTTTGCAGGAAAACGTACGACCATCTGTCCGCCAACTGAAGCTCCGCAGAGGATGGGTGATGCAACAGGACAATGACCCAAAGCATACAAGTAATTCAACAAAACAATGGCTGCAACAGCACAGAATACGCCTTCTGGAGTGGCCCAGTCAGAGTCCTGACCTCAACCCCATTGAAATGCTGTGGCATGACTTTAAGAGAGCGATTCACACCAGACATCCCAAGAATATTGCTACACTGAAACAGTTTTGTGAAGAGGAGTGGTCCAAAATGACTCCAGATCGTTGTGCAGGTCTGATCTGCAACTACAGGAAACGTTTGGTTGAGGTTATTACTGCCAAAGGAGGGTCAACCAGTTATTAAGTCCAAAGGATCACATATTTTTTCCTCCCTGCACTGTGAATGTTTACATGTTATGTGCAATTAAACCATGGCAACATCTAATGTTTGTGTAGTATTATGTTCAGCAGACTGTGTTCTTCTATTGTTGTGACTTAGATGACGTTCAGAGCACATTTTATGCCCAATTCATGCAAAACTCCACGTAATCCCAAGGGGTTCACATACTTTCTTTTTGCAACTGTATTGGTTATTTAATTTATATTGGGATACCGTATTTATTTTGATTATGTTCTCCTATGTGTCTACGCACACATAGACTGTAATCAACGTTTTTTGTCTGGAAAAAAAAAACCCCCTAGAACTAGTGGGCTTCTAGAGGAGTTTTTTAGTGCTCTAATGCTGAAAAACGCGGTAAAACGCTGCAAACCGGCATGTTTGGATGTTTTTGTGACACCCACACAATTGTTTTTGGTTAAAAAAAATGCTAAAAAATACAAACATGGGAAAACGCCACTAAACGCTAATGCGAAACCACTAAAAAAAGCGAAAAAACTACGGTTTTTAACGTGACTTTACACAGCTAACGTTACAAGCGTGATCAAAATGTCCCCCAGTGTGCATGGAGACTTAAGGTTTTGCTTACAAAACACTGTGATGTCAATGATCTGGCGATGGAGGGCTTACTAAGGCCGGCCATACATGGGTTGAAAATCGACTTTTTTTTTTTTTTTTTCTTGTCCGAAAATCGGACCTAAGAATAATCGGATGATTTTCGATCTGTTAATGGGCCAATGGCACCGGTTGATTTTCGTAGTCCCTCCCCTTTTCGGTGATCGGGCATGTTGGAAAAATTTGTGAAAAACGACTGATTTTGGACTCAATGATGGTCGTACGATTGTTTTTTCTGAAAAGAATATGGGCATGAGCCATGACTTGGAAGGAACAGAAGTTTCACCTGTTATATGTCAAAATCAACGATGGCAACATCGGATTACCGAACGGACAACGTTTCCAATTTTCGGATGAAAAATCGTTCGGAGTTCAAACTATGTATGGTCTGCATAAGGCAGATGGAGATTTTTCTGAAAACACCTTCTGCTTGCCCCTAGCCCTTAAAAAAACAGCAGTGGAAATTTGGGTCTTTATATATCATTAGTACACTATGGGGTCAGGGGGCGGACTGACAACTCATGGGGCCCCCGGGCAATAGGGGATCATGGGGCCCCTGTGTCCTTTCCCAAACTCAAAAAATCCTATGAAAACGGTACCAGGGGCATCTCATGGGGCCGCCTACTGACCCCGGGCCCTCAGGCAGTGCCGAGTTTCCAAATGGTCAGTCTGCCCCTGTATGGGGTTAATTTATTAAAAGTGGAGAATGCAAAATCTGGTGCAGCTCTGCATAGAAACTAACTAGCTTCCAAGTTTTTCTGTCAAAGCTTAACCCCCGGTTCGCATCTATGCGGCCGTGTGGACCGCGTTGTGCACGGGCATGAGAGCCCATTCATTTGAATGGACTCCCGTGCCCCGTGACACGCAGGGAAGAAGTCCCGGCACTTCTTTGGAAAACACAGCTGAGGTTCCCAGTACGGTTGCGTTTTCAAGTACGGACGGCGTGCCATTAGAATTAATGGCACCCACCCACGGGTTTGCATTTCTCTGTGCGGGTGTTGCGGCTGCACGCATTTTCATGCGGATTTGCAGCGGCACCACCCGCATAGATGTGAACCGGGGGTAACTGAACAAGCTGAAGTCAAAAGCTGATTGGCTACCATGCACAGCTGCACCAGATTTTGCACTCTCCGATTTTAGTAATACAACCCCTAGCATTAATGGGCAGCACTATCACTAGACCTCAGGCTGATCACTCCTCCATCACTGCCTCTCCAGTTCATGTTGGATGGAACATTAAGTGGGAATGGTTGGTGGATCCTCTAGTGCAGTGGTGGACAACTGTGGCCCTCCAGCTGTTGTAGAACTACAAGTCCCAGGAGGCATTGCAAAACTGACAGTTACAAGCATGACTCCCAAAAGCAGAGGCATGATGGGACCTGTAGTTCACCAACAGCTGGAGGGCCAAAGTTGCCCACCCCTGGGTTGGAATATAGAGTGGTTTAAGCAAAAATGAACACGCAGCAGTTGGGTTCAGAGACAGTCTGCTAGACAGTATACTCACTATGTCACATACATAATATGCATATCAGCATTAACCGCAATATGATTAAATGGACTATAACTAGTCTAGAGTGCACTTTAGGAGGATTGCTAGGATATGGTGCACCGTCCTCTGAGAGGTACCTTTTAGCATAAGCAATAAGTAAAGGTTTCTATGTAGCAGCTGTAAATGGACAGTCTTTAGTCCAAACTCTTCAGCCGGCTAGCGTTGGGGCTCAATTGTACCATTGGTGCAAATGCGAATAATCCAAGTCAAACCTGGGTGGAGCAATACGGCTACTAGATGGCTGTATGGTCAGTTCCTGAAGGGCTCAGTCTCTCTCTCTCTAGCAGCAGATAGAAAATTCCCACAGCAGCAGCTCACCAGTCCATGCGATATTGCGGCTCACCAACCAGTAACACCCAGCAATTAGTCCACTTTCGGGTTTGCACCCAGGTTATTATGGCTGCTGGCACTCTCAAGGTCAGGAATCTGGATCTCACTCAGGCCAGTGACATGCAGCGGTGATAGCGAACGCTGGCCAGTGATGTGCACTGCCTGGTCTCCCTCATGGCAAAAGGAAGCTGGGTCCTGTACAGTTTACAATTTTACTGTACAAATGCAGCTTTTTTCCTCTCCTCCTGGAAATCTCTTTGTGCAAAATACAGTTCAAAAGCTATTAATTGCAACAGAGTCTCTGTCTTCGTGACTAAAGTTCCCACAGTGCAGTGCTGCCTGACTCGGTCTATTGAACTCTTGTTGATACAGCTGTTGACCAGTGCAGCCCCACAGAGCAGCAGCAGCCAGTGTTTCTCTCGCTCTTCATTCTTGGCCAAGCACCCTGCTACACTCCATTTCGGTATTTGATATATTTGGTCTTGTTTTATTGGAGCTGATAACTTCTTGTGATGTCTACTTGTTCTACACTTACTAATCACATTGTTCCCAGTTCTCTCTGTGGACTACCTCCCATCTTATGGAGATTTGATGAGGGGAAACTGTCCTATAGTTCTAACCAGGGGCGGACTGACCATTTGGGAACTCAGGCACTGCCCGAGGGCCCGGGGTCAGTAGGGGGCCCCATGAGATGCCCCTGCTACCTTTTAGAGGCTTTTTTGGGTATGGTTTGAGTGTGGGCGAGGAAAAAGGGGCCCTAGGATCGCCTATTGCCCGGTGGCCCCATGAATTGTCAGTCCGCCCCTGGTCCTAACACTAGGGTCCTAGGGTGGCAGCGCTGCTCATCTATGAATATAATATGGTGAGTGAGTGTTGTTACCCTAAGACAGAAATTGTGTTACCTGCAGGATCATCAAATGCAAAATGGCTTTGCTGCACACAGGGGCGGACTGACAACTCAATAGGGGATCATGGGGCCTCTGTGTCCTTGCCCAAACTCAAAAAAGCCTATGAAAAGGGTACCAGGGGCATCTCATAGGGCCCCCTACTGACCCCGGGCCCTCGTTGCCCAAGTTTCCAAATGGTCACTCCGCCCCTGGCTGCACATTAAGGCACCTGGCTTTGAAGTTGCCCATTGGAATGTTTTTTCAAGATACTTAAGCACATAAAAAATGGATGTGCACTATTTTTTTTAAATTGGGGGAATCACAATGCACAGATGGCTCCCATGTGTGTGAGTTGTGGTGCATTACAAAGAAGGTGCAATGTGTAATGCTCCTAGCTGTGTTGGGGTGCAACACAAAAATGATTTGTGAGCCCTGACTCTCTTTAGTGTGTAAGCGGGTTGCAATTTAGCTAGTTAGGTGCAGCGCTTGGTGGGAGGGATGGGGTTCACCTTAATTCCAGGGTTTTCCTCTTAGCAGGTTTTTTTGGGTCCAACCCACTAATCATGGAAGAATATAAGGGTCAGTGGTTTGGAAGAAAGGGGGGGGGGGGGGGGGTTGTTGCTTGTTCTGCTTCTGCCTGGCACCTTGCTGCCGAGAGGATCTGAGGATTTACCCAGAAGACACCAGCTGCTGGATACTACCGATAGCCATGGACGTTACTACTGATGGACTCCACCTGTAGCACCCTCCTAGTTTAGCTAGGAGGAGCTACAGTAGATCCTAATGGTTAAACAGGAGCTGAATAGCAGCTCAGGTGAAACAGCCAGAGGGGTCAAATTGTGATCAGGGCTGAGAGGCTCTGTAGGCCAGCCCCTATGGAATTTCCCCCTGCACTGAGGCTTTCGAAGGAAAGGCCTTAAAGGCAGTGGGTGGATCTGAGGAGTAGGCAGCTGGACTCTTGAGGGACCCTAGCCAATCCCCAACAGAAGGCTTGGCAATGGGTTGGAACTCCCTTAAAAGTGTTGGAGCCTGCTCAGTAGCACGAGTGTGGAATGGGAAGTGGGGAGCGTCAAGAGGAAGATGTGAGGCTGTGAGGAAGGTGGCTGCAGGATTCCTAGAGGGATGGGGCTTGCCTTTGAGCCTGGAGCTGGAGAGGAGGAAAATTGGAACTCACTGGCCCCTTCAGCGAGGACCACCTGTATGGCAGGAGCATCTCAGCTGATAAGCCTGGTACCAGCAGCCAACCCGCAAGTGGTACAGGAGAGGATCTGAGTGAGTACACCTGCACCCCCTGGGCGGATAGGGGAAGGAGCACTCTGGTAAGGAACCAGATCCCCTGCTCATGAAAACCTCCAGATTGCTTGGTGAAGAGGAGAATTTCATCTATGATATGGGGTGGTACATCAAGGAGGTGCTTGTTAGTTCTCCAGCAGGGACTGTGTTGCAGAAGAAAAGCTTGTGAATAGTTCTAGGAAGTTTGTCCTCAGTTATCGGTTCCCTTGGGCATCCTTTACCCCCTTCCCCTATCCCAGTTCTAAATCCCCTCAATAAACAACAAAACAAAAGCTCAAGGACTGATTTCTGACTTTGAATGCAAGCTTGAGTGGAGAATTCAGATTGCCTGGCTGTGCAGGACTATATGGGGGACCCAAATCTCTTAGCAATACCCACCTGCTACACACCTTTTGCAGGTATGCCGGGGCAGCGCACAAGTCTGAGTTAGGGATTAGGGATGTAGGGAAAAGGAATGTTTTGCATCTTTATAATTAAAGCATTGAAACTTTGCTTCTGCCTGGTCAGGCATACTTCTTACTTAGCCTACAGCTACTGGGAAAGGTAGTGGAAAATGCTGAACAGGTGAATGTGGACAAGGCTATGTGTGTCCCTCCTAAATGCATGTTACAGTGAAGGTATACACAGGGACTTGAGAGTTAACTGGAGGACAGTTATGGTGCAAGTGTACAGGGTGTATGTTCATCTCTGAGAGTGAAGGCCCACTTTAATCCCCCATCGGCAGCCTCAGCCTTGTCCCAGGGCATGGATGAAAATGGCACTGAGTAAAGGTACCCCATGTGCAAGGAGAGTGAAGATGTTACAGGTGCCTTGCATAACCCAGAAGAACCCAACCCGGGGGCAGTCCTCTTATGTGACCCAGACTTTGCACCCAAGGAGTTAATGAGAAACATGGAGGAAAGGTCGATCATCACCTGCCACCCCTACAAGTGTAACATTTCTCTTCCATGGAATCACATTCTTTGACAGTTTAACCATCAGTCCTAGGTTGCAAAAAGTGACAAGAAAAAAAAATAAATTCCAGTATCTGCTTCCCATCATGCACTGTGGTTCCTTCCCTAGCTACCACCACTACAGTAGTTGCTGGTCTCTTCCATCTTTTCAATGCTATTTTGTAGCCCAACCATCCTCAAGAGACACGAGAAGCCAATGAGATCATCTCAAGAGAACCAGCCTAGGGTTGGATGGACTGCATGTCAATGCCATTGGTCACACAATATGAAGGTCAGATCCTCAAAACTTCCATAGTTGCAAAGTCAGGCAGGTGCAGTGCCATGTGACTGGACTTGTCTGAGCGAGCAAACTCTTGCTCAACGTTTCTCCAGCAATTCGATGGCAGGTTACCAGGTTGCTTCTTGATACGTTGCCCTAACAATAAAGATATTTACTTATCAAATATTTCTAATCCTCGGTTTTATTTGGACAGCCTCAATGACTTCCTCTGGAAAGAATACCCTCCAGACTTCAAATGATTGAGGAAGATCTACAACGGATTTAATAACAATCGTGCAAGTGAAGCGAGGAAAATTGGTCTTACAACTTATTACAGATCAAAATGAATTGTGACCACATGTCTCTGGTATGGATGAGAAATACTTACTGAATAAATCTTCTTCAAGTATACAAGAACCAAAACCCAAAACCCGCCCAACAACCAAATGTATCTGCTGCACCTTACCAAAGTTCAAGTATAACTCCATCTTCAACAGGATCCGATCTCTTGATAGTGGTTTATTTTAACCTTTGTAACAATATTTTATATGTAACATTCTTGTGCAAACATATGAAGTGTAAATGGTGTGCTCTATGGAGCCTGCAGATCACCCTGGTAGGGAAAAGTGGAGTATTTTGCCTTTGCCGTAATTTCATTGACATTAGTCTCTGATTTTTTGCTTTGCGTCATTGCAAGATGAAATTGGCACAAAAAAAGGTTCCCACAAATGTGTAGCACCCTCCTAGTTAGCTAGGGGAAGCTAAAATCCTGATAGTCAGAGAGGTGGCCTGAGTAGCAGCCTGGGTGTGATAGTCAGGAGGTTAAATTTGGGTCAGGACTGAGAGGATCTGCAGGACAGCCACTTGGAATTTTCCCCTGCTCTGGAGCTTTGGAGGAAGGTCTAGAGGCAGTGGGTGGATCTGAGGAGTGGCTGGTTTGTACTCTTGAGGTAACCTGGCCAATTCTCAACAGGAGGCTTAACAAGGGTCCAGGACAATCCTTAAGGATAAAGGAGCCTGCTCAGCAGGAGGAGTAGGAGGGAGGAGGTGGAAGAGAGAGGTTGAGGTGCAGGAGCCCTGGGAGAGTGCCCAGACTGGAAAGGACTCACCTCCAGGAGTCATGCCAGAAAGGAGGAAAGCTGTGGACTTCACTGGCCCCCTGAGAGAGGAGTACCTGGCAGCAGGAAAGTAGCAGCCCAGCTTAAAGGCTTTGTAGCAGCCACTGACCTAACAGCAGCACAGGAGAAGGACTCCGACACCCCCTGGTCCAGAAAGGGGAGAGAGAATTTGGGTGGGAAACCTAACTCGCTCTACAGCTGGGACTATTGCCCTTCCTGTAGTTACTACTGGATCCCCTGTCCAGGAATTCCTTCATACAACCAGACTGAGGAGCATCTGGGGTTGGAGAGGTACATTGGGAGATGCTGGCTAGCTCTCCAGAAGAGGATTCCTGTGTAAAGTCTTGTACTATAGTTTCAGGACGTTTGTCCTCAGTTGCCATTCCCTTGGGCATCCCATATATCCATTACCCCATCTAAGTTCTAAACCCCTAACAAAACTTCAAAACAAAGCTCAAGGACTGGTTTCTGCCTCCTGATGCAAATCTGATGGAGGAAATGTATGATGGCTGGCTGTGCAGGACAATAGGAGGACCCAAATCTTCAGCAACTCCTAAGGGGGTGGTGCTACAAATGCTATGTGCAGTCAGTGTTCCTAGCTCTGAGACCAAAGCTCTGTGGGGCATGTCTTTGTTTATAAGCAAAGCCCCGTCACAGCCTTGATTTCACAAATGTGATCATGTAGCTTGGTTCATCCACAAAGCCACGTGGCTTTCATAAGTCATATGATCGCCTTAACATGTCTATCACATGACTTTGTTGATCATGAAAGCCACATGATCCCATTGGCTGTGCTGTCTGGCAGGGGTGCCTGGATTAAACAGTGGATAAAGGAAACTGCAAGGAGGAGTAATGGTTATGGCAAGTGAGGAGGGTTTAGCTGCTGACCTCTAAATATGCACCAAAAAATAAATAAATTGAGATCCTTCATGATCTTTTATCTGACTTTGCTACTAGACTTGTCCACCAATCTGTTTTAAGGAATGCAAGATTGTCAGTACAGTCACAGGGTTTACTTGCTACTGGGGATGAACAGAACTGAAAGTTTTTGCTGACATTTGGCCAAAACCAGGACATTTCCATGAATGTCAGCATTTTGGTGAAA